TCCAAAGGGGTACCATCACAGATTTCGGGCAATTTTTCCGAACTGCCATTTTCTTTTGATTCTGGAGGCTGCAGATCACGGAATCAGGCCGAGCCTATATCCACCGATAATGAAGTCTATTGATACTATTCTCCACGGATGATAAGTCCATTAAGCACCGATTTTGGCCAATTTATTTTCGGATGGCATTTTCGTAATTTTTTTGGCGATGAAAAGCCATTTTCTTTGGATTTAGAACGCTACAGATCACGGATTCGGCCTGAGGCTATTCTTCAACGATGATTAAGTCCATTAAGTGCTAATTTGGGCGAATTTATTCCGAGCCCATTTTTGGCAGATTCCAAAGGGGTACCATCACAGATTTCGGGCAATTTTTCCGAAATGTCATTTTCTTTCGATTCATGAGGCTGCAGATCACGGAATCAGGCCGAGCCTATATCCACCGATAATGAAGTCTATTGATACTATTCTCCGCGGATGATAAGTCCATTAAGCACCGATATGGGCCAATTTATTTTTGGATGGCATTTTCGTAATTTTTTTGGCGACGAAAGGCCATTTTCTTTGGATTTTGAAGGCTGCAGATCGCGGATTCGGCCTGAGGCTATTCTTCAACGATGATTAAGTCCATTAAGTGCCGATTTGGGCGAATTTGTTCGGGCCCATTTTTGGAAGATTCCAAAGGGGTACCATCACAGATTTCGGGCAATTTTTCCGAAATTCCATTTTCTTTCGATTCTGGAGGCTGCAGATCACGGAATCAGGCCGAGCCTATTTCCACCGATAATGAAGTCTATTGATACTATTCTCCACGGATGATAAGTCCATTAAGCACCGATTTGGGCCAATTTATTTTCGGATGGCATTTTCGTAATTTTTTTGGCGACGAAAGGCCATTTTCGTTGGATTTTGCAGGCTACAGATCGCGGATTCGGCCTGAGGCTATTCTTCAACGATGATTAAGTCCATTAAGTGCCGATTTGGGCGAATTTGTTCCGGGCCCATTTTTGGCAGATTCCAAAGGGGTACCATCACAGATTTCGGGCAATTTTTCTGAAATGCCATTTCCTTTCTATTCTGGAGGCTGCAGATCACGGAATCAGGCCGAGCCTATATCCACCGATAATGAAGTCTATTGATACTATTCTCCACGGATGATAAGTCCATTAAGCACCGATTTGTGCCAATTTATTTTTTCGGATGGCATTTTCGTAATTTTTTTGGCGACGAAAGGCCATTTTCGTTGGATTTTGAAGGCTACAGATCGCGGATTCGGCCTGAGGCTATTCTTCAACGATGATTAAGTCCATTAAGTACCGATTTGGGCGAATTTATTCAGGGCCCATTTTTGGCAGATTCCAAAGATGTACCATCACAGATTTCGGGCAATTTTTCCGAGATGCCATTTTCTTTTGATTCTGGAGGCTGCAGATCATGGAATCAGGCCGAGCCTATATCCACCGATAATGAAGTCTATTGATACTATTCTCCACGGATGATAAGTCCATTAAGCACCGATTTGGACCAATTTATTTTCCTATGGCATTTTCGTAATTTTTTTGGCGATGAAAGGCCATTTTCTTTGGATTTTGAAGGCTACATATCACGGATTCGGCCTGAGGCTATTCTTCAACGATGATTAAGTCCATTAAGTGCCGATTTGGGCGAATTTATTCCGGTCCCATTTTTGGCAGATTCCAAAGGCGTACCATCACATATTTTGGGCAATTTTTCCGAAATGCCATTTTCTTTCGATTTTGGAGGCTGCAGATCTCGAAATCAGGCCGAGCCTATATCCACCGATAATGAAGTCTACTTGTACTATTCTCCACGGATGATAAATCCATTAAACACCGATCTGGGCCAATTTATTTTCGGATGGCATTTTCGTAATTTTTTTGGCGACGAAAGGTTATTTTCTTTGGATTTTGAAGGCTACAGATCACAGATTCTGACTGAGGCTATTCTTCAACGATGATTAAGTCCATTAATTGCTGATTTGGGCGAATTTATTCCGGGCCCATTTTTGGCAGATTCCAAAGGGGTACCATCACAGATTTTGGGCAATTTTTCCGAAATGCCATTTTCTTTCGATTCTAGAGGCTGCAGATCACGGAATCAGGCCGAGCCTATATCCACCGATAATGAAGTCTATTGATACTATTCTCCACGGATGATAAGTCCATTAAGCACCGATTTTGGCCAATTTATTTTCGGATGGCATTTTCGTAATTTTTTTGGCGACGAAATGCCATTTTTCTTTGGGTTCTGAAGGCTACAGATCACAGATTCGGCCTGTGGCTATTCTTCAACGATGATTAAGTCCATTAAGTGCCTATTTGGGCGAATTTATTCCGGGCACATTTCGGGCAATTTTTCCGAAATGCCATTTTCTTTCGATTCTGGAGGCTGCATATCACGGAATAAGGCCGAGCCTATATCCACCGATAATGAAGTCTATTGATACTATTCTCCACCGATGATAAGTCTATTAAGCATCGATTTGGGCCAATTTATTTTCGGATGGCATTTTCGTAATTTTTTCGGCGACGAAAGGCCATTTTCTTTGGATTTAGAAGGCTACAGATCACGGATTCGGCCTGAGGCTATTCTTCAACGATGATTAAGTCCATTAAGTGCTAATTTGGGCGAATTTATTCCGAGCCCATTTTTGGCAGATTCCAAAGGGGTACCATCACAGATTTCAGGCAATTTTTCCGAAATGCCATTTTATTTCGATTCATGAGGCTGCAGATCACGGAATCAATGAGATTTTGGACCTTTTCCCCCCTTCTTTTCATCTTTTCCCCCCTTGTTGTCGGTGGTCTAAATCAACCCCTTAGATTTGAATTTCTTTGTTATACATAGGGTAGTATGAGTATGAATATGAAATGGGGAGGCTAAAACCATATCAGTCACAGTCCTATAAAAAAAATTTGCTGGTTTTACCAATACCAGCCCAATATTGAGACAAGATGGAGAATTTCATCATTGATTGGGTCGGGGACTGTTAGCTACTACGGTGATGAGAAAGGTACCCATGGGTTGACCCGGACCCGATCAAGCTAGTGGGTCAAGGGTTAACGGGTCACCCATTTTAGCACGTTTCAGCCCGGAAATATGAAAAAAGTCATTATATTGTACTTATCCTGATAAATTATATTAAATCTCATCTAAAATATGAGTAATAACATATAATATTACACCAAAGTAACATATCGTATTTAGATACAACATATAGCGAAAATTCACACTTATATAACATCAATATTCAAATGTTCGACTAAGGATTCCAAAGATTGAGTTAGGCGAAAAGAAAAATCGAAAAATAGGCGCATTTTGAAACCAAAGAAAAAAAATGACACAATTTGACCTCCAACCCGATACCTTGTAGCGGTCGACCCGGCAGGTGCGTGCATCCCGTTTTTCTCATTGGGTCAGTGTCAAAGTGGGTCGACCCGCGGGTTGACAAGCTTGGTGGTGAGTTTAACTATCATCCCTAATCACGAGTTGTTTGAATGTTTTGTAGGAGCATTGACTTGCCGTTGCTGTTCAATTGTACTTCAACACATCTTGCCTCATTTGTAATCAGCCAACCATTAAATCAGAGCTTAACCTTGCAGGTTCCTCGACGGAGAAGGGGATAATCCATATCGCCATATCGGTGCTTCGGCAGTTTCTCTCCCTAGTTTGTGATACTAGAGGTCCTCCAAAACTCTAATGCCTTTAGTTTCTTTTGTAAAGCTTCACCTCACGGGTTGCTGTTTAGAACAGGTTGGTTTATACTATTTCATGGGGTAAGGGTATAGTCCATATCTGTGCTGTTGATAGTCTTTCTAAATTTTGTAGGGTTCATCTCCTTGTTTTAAACTTGTTTAGCGTGTGCTGAGAGAACAATATGATACAGTATACAATTTTTACAACTAATTTGGTCACATAATTTAGAAGTGCCCTCAGGAAAGAAGACGAGTTTCAGAGCTGCAGTAGGTCCATGCCTCAAGTAATTAAAACTCCAAGCCCATGATTTCCTCAGCTGAACAACACATTTCAGCTTGGCCTCCGCCATGCCCACTAGGTCATGACGAAAACTCCCAAATTCTTCCAACCATGAGGAAGAATCCATTTTTTTTTTTTTTTTCAGAAAGACCCGCCAGCTAAAATAACTATAGTCACCGGTAGAGACAAATGTGCCGGGAAGGCTAAATCCTATGCGCTTCCCCTCTTTTCTCCTTCTCGGATAACAAATTTGCCGGGAAGAAGAACCGGGAAACAAGAAAGTTGGGTTTTTTTAGTTGCGGAAACTAAGAAATGTAAGAAGCTCGGTAAGCAGATATGTCGACGGAAAGCAACAACCGGCCAGTAAACCTCTTGTAATGGGATTTGATTTGGCTACAGCCGATTAGGCAAACATCAAGAGAGAGGCGATCTCGATTTCTCGCGCCTTCCCTTGGTACATATAGCCGTCTGAAACACAGTTTCAATCAGATTGAAAAGAAGAAAGAAAGAAAGAAACAAACAAACAGATTAGTGACTTGCCGGCGATTGCAATATCCGGCCTGGATCTACGGTCCTTTTTTATAAAGCTCTCATCTTTGAAGTGCGTTCGCTTCTCTCGCCTGGCGGCTTTTATAAGGAGGGAGGGAAGGAGCCGATGAACGACTCTAACCCTAGATTGCTCCGTCTCTTCGGAGGATGATCTTGGCCGCACATCTTATTTTAGGAGGCTGTTACAACTCTTTTGCCGTTTTACCGGTTTTTTGGCGCAAAACGGTTAGATTAGTAAGATGGTGGTTACCTTCTGGCTCAAAATTAGGATATCTGCTTAGTAGCTTATAATTTGTTTGTTCTCTCTTTGAGTGATGCTCTGGCTTGGTGAAATCGCTCCCATATTCTCCACTTATTTATAATTCATTTGGACTGTAGGCCAATTTGTTACTAAGATACAAGGCTCTGGTTTTAGTGTATCATGTGTTAATGAGATGTAAGGCTCATGCAACGAATTCCCCTGTTTATTGAAGCAAAAACCAGTACTTTAATCAGATGAACATACATATCCGTCACAGTAAATGAAAACTCCTCACCTCCATACTATCTGTCAACAAATACAACGGAAGAAACGAAACCCAGAAGTGATCTCGGAAACAATCGACAAGCTATTTGGGAATACAGGACGGTCTGTTGATAATGCAAAGAGAAGCAGCCTCTCAAATCTTGCAGGCGAAGGCAATGCCTTCCGTGGACAGCGAATCGAGGCTCTCAACTGGTGGTTGAACCCTGGCGACTTTAGCAATGGCCTTGTTTTCGTCGGGGGAACCGCCTTCCAGGAAGGCTCCAATGATCTTCCCGTCTTTGATCCAGTATGTGCCGAACTTGGGGTTCTCTGCCTTGGGGTCGTCGTTGCCGAAAAGCACGGTTTCACCGACGTTGTCACCGTAGAACTGCCATGAGAGGTCGAAGGCGCGCGAGTAGAAGTAGGGGAGATAATCGTATTCTTCAATGTTCTCGGTTGACATTATGGCCTGTTAAAAAGCAAAGCGAAACAGTTTTGATGAAGCCATCAACCAAATCACACAGATAGGCTTTCCATATGGATTGAGTTTAGAAATGGAAAGGAATAGGAAAGGATGTAAAAACCAACATTACCTTGACAGCCTGTTCAGCTGATTTACGAGCATGATCGACGTGTTCAACTCGCCTGATCTCGTTGTAGATCTTCATTGGGAAAGTAGCAACATCACCCACAGCATACACGTCAGGGACGCTTGTTTTGAAGAATCCATCGGTCTATAATCAATGAAGAGTCCAGTTGTTACTTGTTAGTTACTCTTCCTTGCGGAGGTCATTTGAATGTAATTAAGATCATTAACATACCTTAATTCCGCCCTTCTCCTCGTCGACCTGCCCCTTGAACAAGGCTGTGAGTGGTCTCCCCCCAACGCCAACAACAACAATGTCGGCCTCCAACACCCTGCCATCCTTCAATTTAACTTCCTTCACCTGAGAACACAGTTGGAAGTTGGAACTCGCCTTCAGTTTCAGACCAACACTCAAACGAACAAGATAACAGAATTAGCAAATAGTTTAAGTTTTTACCTCTCCATTTGAGTCGGAAGTGAATCCAGATGCGACTGTTCCCTTGATGATGTTGATCCCCTTGTTAGAATAGTAGACTTCATAGAATGCAGCTATTCCAGCTGTGAAAAGCCGAGGCACTAGAGGAGAGCATTGACCAAGTTAGTGAACAGGGCACTTAACATGGGATGTGCGGTAAGGACTCTGGAAGTGATTTACTTACTGCACCAGGGTTCAGGATAGACCATGGTGACCTCAATGTTGTTGATCTTCAAAGCTGCACTAAGCTCAAGACCAATGTATCCTCCTCCAACAATGACAGCTTTCCCATTTGGCTTTGCTTTGATTGCTTCGACGAGCTTATCAGCATCATCGATCTCCCTCAAGTAAAAAATGTTTTTGGCATCAGCTCCTTCTACACCGAAGTCAGTCAATCGTAGCACCTGTGAGAAGAAAGTAGGGTAATGGTCAGAAATGCTGTGAATAATGAACCTTATGCAGAAAATCTGATGAAGAAGACATATAAACTTACAGTTGAACCAGTTGCAATGATCAATATTTCGTACTTGATGGTTTCCCCAGCAGCGCTTACGAGCGTCTTTGAAGGAACATCTGCTTTAACTATTTCTGTGTTAAGCAACAACTCGATCCCTGCAGCCGCAACAATCAAGCAACAAGTTTTAGTTGGAAACTGTCTTCTTTGATAACCAATACATTGAACATGGAAACAAGAGTAAACTGGGAAAGTTTTCATTTGTGTAACAGGACTTGTGAAGCTGAGTTTTTCTAGGTCCTCACCCTTCTCAGTGTACCACTCAGGGAGCAATCTCTCCCCTCCGCTACCAACACACGTGTGAAATCCAGGAAGCCGTGCAGTTCCTGCCAAAAGCAACTTCCACCCGTTTAAAAGCTATTCAAGCACAAAATGTAGAGAGTACTATGTTGGTCTCTTCAGCAACCAAAGTAAAAACCTGCTTAAGACACGAGAACCATGCTATATGTCCACATTTTAAATATGAGAGGAAGATGATTACCGGTAGGGAAGAGATATGCCTTGCTAAGAGCTGGACGTTCATAAGGTGCTACCTGCACTCACAAGAGGCCACAAACTCATTACCATACAGCAAAATTAGACTGCATTGACCCCAAAGGAATATACCTAGTCCATACTCCAAGGCTATCTCGCTCATTTTAGAAGGCACGACCCACTAATAAGATCCATTCTTTATGAAGGGAACAACTAATAGACTAACGTGATCCATTCGGCCTACCATACAAGAGAGCAGTTCAAACACTAATAGCTGGTTTGATGATTGCTAGTCTTACAGGGAGAAATAGGAAGCAATAGAAACAAAACATTATAAACAACATACCGCCTCCTTCGAGATAATGGCCAATTCACCAGGCTGGACCCCTTGCTTGGCGAACTCCCTTGCTGCATATCCCTGCACCACCAGGATCCGGAGTTCAGATAAAGGATGCAAACCCATCAAAACGAAGAACCAACCAGTTCAGAATAGAAGCACAAAAATCTGACAATTATGCTAACAGCAAAGTAAGTCAATTATGCTGACAGGAAAGCAAGTCATTCCTCCTAATATTGATCATACAATTGGTTGATTCGTGAAATGCCCGAGTAGCTTCGAATCCAAAGCTGTCTACTTTAATTTTACTTATCAGACTAATTCCTGTACAAAGTCCCCAAAACTCACAAAAAGTTCAATTATTTCGCGTCGCCCTCACACCCCAGACGCCATCAGGAGACAAATTGAATATCTACACAGCAAATCTCAACGAGCCGGGGCGAGCAAGGTCAGAGAATAACTTAACCACACAGAAGGTTAAAGAGGCGTCATATTATCCAAAACAATCCAGTACCCCCGAGAAACTAAGCTAAGTTGTGCGCAAATTGAACACAGGTTGGGACACGATCTCATCGAAAACGAAATTCAACGGCTCAAGCAACAAACCAATCGTAGAACTGGGAAACAAAAAACAAGAGCGACAACCACCACACAATTTCCACACTAGATCACAAGTAAAGCGGTCGAGAAATATTCCTAGATCTATAAACGCTTGGCACCAGGGCGCCGCGAAATTCCGAAGAGATCTCCCCGGAACCGCAGTGCGGAATGTTTCAGCAGGGTGGAATTCATGAGATAAGAAACCAAAGGTACGATCGCGAAATTCAAAATCATAACAAAGAGACGACGACGACGACGGGTGAAGAGTACTCACGGCAGCGACTCCACCGCCGAGGATGACATACTTGAAGCTCTTCTCCGCCATTGATTGCTGGATCGATGGATGATTGCTCTTCGCTTTCTCTGTTACTCTGGGAAAAGGGTGTCGACAGGGTCGTATTATTTATATGGCCACTGGCTGGCTCTAATGTCTAATCCCATTGGCTGACCTTTTTGGACGGATTGTTTTGGTTTTCGTTTTTTTCCCATAAAGCGTTCCAGGCAAATGTTAACACATCACGTCACGTGGCAAGTATAAGAGCATCCACATTGGTATTGCATTTTCAATTGCAAAATAACATGATATAGGTGTTTGCAATTGCAAAACCAATTGCATTGATGTGACTACCAATTGCATATATGCAAATTTGCAACAAATGCAATTACATATGCAAGTCAAAAAGTCTAAAAAAATGGGGACTTTTTATTTTATATTGTTTTCTTTTCTCTTTTACTTAATTTTTTATAATTTAAATATAATATTTAATTACATTTGCAATTTCAAGTGAATTGCATTGATGTAGGTGAATGAAATGAATGTGATGTGGATTGCAAAAAAATTGAGTTGACAATAAAAAACACAAATGCAATTTTTTTTGCAATTGCATTGATGGAGATGCTCTAACGCCGTTAACCATTCCCAGACTGCCGGCTCGCCACGATGTTCGACGTTGACTGACTCCGTCTGTCCCTCTCTGTAGTAATTACAGAGTTCACAACAGGATAAGATTTTGTCCGATTTAACTTGAACTTGCCCAGCAAATGAACCCGGACTGGTCGTTTGATAAGGTTCAAGGTCAACATATTCCTTCCCCATTGCACCCATGTTTTGCGTTCACACACAGGAACAGCCATAATCAAGCCATGGAATGGAAGAATCCTTCGCGAAGAAATTGGAAACTCCATCGGAAGTTCCTGGAGCGACGACCACCAAAATAAAGAGCAACAAAGACCAGCCGACGACGACGATGTCAAATCGGAGAAGGTGGAATGTGACGTCACTGGTGATGGTAACGGGCAGAGGATGGGACGAAGAAGGAACGGAAGGAAAGTAGTAGCCGCCACTGGCCCACTCCAGTCCTGGATCCATCGCCGAAAAGGTGAAACTATAGTAGGCAACGTGGGCCTCATTATCAAGCCCATTGATGCAGGCTTCTGAGTTATGGGCTAGACATATACATCACCTAGGCCCAACAAAAGCACAACGGGCTCGCATACATAACTCGACGTGAACTCGTGATCGTAATTTTGGCGCAGTCCCGTCACAAGCTAGATAGCGCGCGAGATATCGGCCATCCCCTGTTCGTTTCCCTGCCCTTCGAAGCCCTGTCTATTTCCCAACCGTACAAAGAAAACGGTTGTTGGGATGTCCGATTTTCGACAAGCCATAGAGGACATATCCTATCAAACAATGTCGGATTAGATATCTCACTATTCATGTCCGTTTTACATTTCACTATAGTTGTTATATGTTCATATTCAGTAGATCGGATCGAGTCAAGTAATATGCGCCGAATCTAGTTAACCAATCTTTATGGACCGAAAATGACATGCATAACGATTCAATTTTTAAGAAAAAACAGAGTGTGTTTTTTTATAGAGAAGGAAGAGGATTAAACAGAGGTAGATGGGGCATTGGTAATAACTATTATCATGCATCTCTCGAGTATGTTAGTTAGCTACAGGCAATGGCAAATAATTGAAGGAGAGTGAGTGATCTGTAACCGATGTGTGCCTTTTTGTTGGTTTCTGTGTGGAGGGAGAATGTGCGGTTGGGTTGGGTATGGCGGGGTTAAATCGAACAGTACGTTGGCAGGAAGGATGTCCCATCCTCTGGCCTTTTTATGGATCCGACAACACTTTCATTTCCCACCATAACGTGGCTCGGTTTTCCACTTGGTGTGTGATTATTCAGATCAGAGCTCGCTCTTAATGGTGGATTTGATTAGGAGGGGAGTTTGATTAATTAAGTTCGTCGTTCGTTCCGATCAAGCGTTCATTGTCCTAGGAATCACAAAAGTCGAAAGAAAGAAAAAAAACCTTCGGCCCACGCAGCTTTTACATGACATTTTTCTTCTGGTTGCGCGATGTTTAATGGGCCGTGGGCCCAAGCTAGCTCCTTCTGGCCAGCTGCTATCTTATTGGTTGTAATTATGCCGACAGTACATGGACGACTGACTGACTGACTGACTCATCAAACCATTTTTACATCTTTTGAAGCGCGATCGACGATCATAAAGCCATGCAGGACCACGCACCCCCTAATCCATGATCCTCAATTTTTGAACAATGAAAACGATCGATGCCTTAGTTCCTACAAAGAAATTTCAAAACGGACACATTTTTCTAGCTGCTTTGGAACCAGCTAAGAAAGTAGTAAGCTGCCAGCAGTCTGTCATTTTGTAATGGCTTTGTTTATGTGGCACATCCATCACCCTAACGCCCTTCTCATCATTAGCCTTCCCATCCTTTTTTTTTTTTTTTTGGCGGATCATAACAAGATACGAGAACCAACTCGTCCCAATTACTCCAGTGAAGGGTGGGTTTTGCTTTGAAAAAGGAGGGTTGAATGTAAGGTAGCTAGATCTGGAGGGGGGGACCGTTTGGTTGGCAGCTGATGAAAAACTTGATGGATTGTTGGTTTGGTTAGGGTTTTGGCTGGTAATGTTTGTTTGGAGAAAATGGTTGCTTGGGAGCAACGACAATGAAAGGAAAGGAAAGGAAGGTAACTATCTTTATCGCATGCAGTTTCAAACAAATTAAGGAACGGTCCATCCCCCAGGGTCCAGGGTGAGATAAGTCCATGTGTATATGATATAGCTTGACACCACCCTACCTGAAAATGATGGCCTCTCTTCCTTAATCTAATTCCATATTTCTATTTTTTGTTTTCCTGCAATTTTAATATAGGTTTTTTTTTTCTTCATTGTGTACTTTCATGAACTTAGTGAGTGGAGGAAGAAAATATCATGTTCGCTCTAATAATTAAGAACGTAGATTCAATCAATCCAAAAGAAAAAAGAACGTAGCGGATGTTTTATTCTCATGTATTATGAGCAACTTAGCTATTAGAATTATAAAACTATTAATGGAATTTCAATTTAAAAACTAGAATCAAGCTAATAATTAATCCACTGGAAACCCAATTGGGTACGTCTTACCACTTTAAATTGTTTTTTTCCCCATTATTCTTTGTTAGAGTCAATTTCTTCTTCTTTCTCAATGTCATGATGATGATGGTCGATGGCACTTCTTTTTTTACTCTCTCCTTTGAGTAGCCCTCAAGTCACCTTGTTTTGATAGAACAACTAGCTATGCTGAAACACGACCGTCTAAATTATTCATTAACAACAATAATAATCAACGTATACCTATGAGAATGATGTAAAGCATGCATGTTACTTTTTCTGTTTATACGTAAAATAGAGTACTAGAGAAATTAAAGTAGCCATCGTATTCGAAGCTGCTTATTGCACCAATAACATGGGCTGTTGTACCCATCTTTGCTTTTATATATAATAATGGCCTTTAAAGGCCCTCGGCGCCGACCCTTCTGACCAGCGCGCTACTTGAATTGTGTGGTTAATTAGCTTAACTAATTTGCCCATTAGGTGGATGCTTTAATAAAACAGAAACTACTGATGATGGAAGAAGGGAAAGAACAGCTAAGATCAAAGTTGGCGGGTCGGGTCGGGTCGATTGTTTTAATTATGGAAAAAATTATAAAAGAGGGAGTTTGCAAGAGACGACCTTGGTTAGAGCAAACAAGGTAAGGATAAAGCTCGGCGGCCAATATGCACAGATACCAAGCAAATTGTAGATTAATAAACAAAAGAAATATCATCAATGGTAAAGTGGGTGTTAAGAGCATATCATGCAAGGTTACTTTTGAATATTTGTCTGCTCGATCACATTGCTTTAGCTTCCTTTCCTTCTCCTAATGGAGCTTTTGTTCACGAAAGGATGTCACAATTATGTTTGTCGACATTATCGTAATTTTGAGGTTTTTGAAAGTGATATTTATTAAGGTTGTCAAACCTGGAACTGGATGGCTGGTTCCATTGGGTCTTATCAGAATTGGTCAACTAAATCGTTGGATTACATTCTAGTTGGATGATACTTGTAAAAGGTCAAAATTTGGTTTAACCATTCAAAGCCGAATTAACCAATTAAAACTGAATGGTCTAAGCAGTCAAATCAGATTTGAAGATGATGAATTATCTTGTAGTATATATCTCTTCTGAAGAAATAATTTGGTAATATATGAATGTAGATTAGTGCGCTTATTTTGAAATATGTCAAATATATGCATAATTTATTAAGTATTAGAGGTTTTTTCACATAATATGTGAAAATCAATTTAAATTGGTTGAACCCGATTCAAACATTAAACCTCAATTCACTTATCAAACAGATTTGATGGCTTAATTTAGTTTGACAATCTTCATATTCATAGAGTTTTATTTTAGATATTGGCATTCCCTTTTCCATGGATGAATCTATATATGGACTTGTTAGTGTAACAAGTGGTAATTGGTGTAGATAATGTGTAGGTAATTGCTTCGGCGGGTTCTTCTATTGATAATGTGGATGGAAGCGGGTAAGTTGGCATATAATAATTCATATATAACATTGACACTTGACATAGATTATTCAGCATCTCATACACCAAAAACAAACAAACAAAACAGGTCAATGTATTTCAAGTCTCTGTTGATCACTTCAAATGTTTAAACATCGGTCCTTATACTATGACTCCTTAACAAATAGATCTTTGTACGTACTATGTCATCGATCATATATCATTTTGTAACTACTTTCATCTAGCTAGATTGGTCATTAGTGAAACCGACTACTCATCATGCTTAGCAAACATATCGTTCATGACTTATACGTATGCTGAAAATTCTTGTTTGTTAATTACCTCGATATGACATCGAAATCTCACACTAATTCGAAGCCAAGTCAAGCCAACCCAACTCTGCTAAGGA